CTCTGTTTACAATTGTAAACACTATAACCCGATATATTTATTTGTAACTAATAACTATTGATTCAAGAATCAAGGCCCTATAAAACTACCTCCGTGAAAGCCCTTGTATAGCCTTGATATGACCCTTTTATGAGGCCGATAACTACACTTCACGTCGTTATCAACTGTAAATTTATTCCACTACCAACATACAAACTTCAACACTCCTGAATAAGGTGTCAGTCACATATTGTAAAATCTTCTAGCAAGCCATGTGGGGTGAAACCATCTATGTTACCTCACATTCTTAAAATCATTACATCACGACACTACTTCGCGTTTCTGCATCAAATCGGAGATCTTCTTTCCGTTCGGAGGTTTGTTAGCATATAGTCAGTCGAACATTTTATACAAATATTATTAAAGTGTGACATGGAACGACACTCTAAACTTCGGTCGAGAACTGTTTCCGTTCGGTCCGAGGTAAGTTTAACATCTAATAGTTAAATTGCAGTTTGTACAGAATATCAGTATGACAACACGACACCCTCTGTCCTTAGACCCTCACATCGTACAAGGAAACACTTCCAGAGAAACCCCACAGTTTAAAGGGGAGAATGGGAGAAACCTCAGGGAGAGCAACAGAGGAGGGATCCCTCTCCCAGGACGGACAGACGTGCAATAGATGCCGTGTGTAAATTGAAAAGATAATACATTTGCAAAATAGGTAGTGCAAATGTTTGGAAATGCATGTGTGTATAATAGGACGATGAATCCACGAGGATATCCATCCAGGACTTACGATCCAGGACCACAGCCACGACTCAAGATCCAGGACTCGCGATCCATGACACAGGACCGCAGGATCATCCATGACTCCGGATCCCGGCGTATATAGACACCAAAAAGAAAGAAATTTGGGGAAGCTGGGTTAATCGGAACATGAGAGTACACAGGTATAGACAGAGAGAAGGAAGAAGTAAGATGTCCCCCGACAAACTAAGCCTATATCAGCAAAACGTTAATGAGAACCTTTTCACCCCCTTTTCAGTCCCTGCTAGAGAGCAGGTACTTTCATGGGAGAAAAAGGTTCCCAGAACTAAGTTCTGATGAACTAAGTACGGCAAAGTAGGCTACTTGGTGTGAAAGTGAATGTGTATCTCAACTGAATTTATCGAGAACTCTTTAACCAATACAGTAGTTTACTCGCTTTCTCATCCAAATTACAGTTCAACTACTCTCAGACTTTCCTCTGAATGTAGATATTTCCTGTGCCTTTAGTTTTACTGTTTACTTTTCAGATGCTTTTCTTATCACATATGAGACCTAAGTGCAAACACATCAGCTAACACATCATTCAACGAACACATAAACCCCCAACAACCTTTAATGCTTATATTTTAACCTACAGTATAAACTTCAACTGTTACAACAATTAAATTCATTTGCATTGTTACATTAATTCAAAGGCACCAAAGACTCAACATGTTACGATATTTGATCATTTTTGCATTATTTTTGGTACTGTGCGCCCGGGCAAACACAGGAGATAACTTTCCTTTTGGAGAAGGAGAAGAAGAACAAAAGAGGCTGGAGGCTGTGGCTCAGTGGGTAGTGTGCTGGACTTCGAATCAGAGGGTAGCAAGTTCGAGTCCCACTGCAGTCAGCATGTCGTTGTGTCCCTGGGCAAAACACTTCACCCCAAATTGCTCCTGNCAACCCTTAAAGCTTTCCGTGCATAGCTCACAGAACCGCGGTGAAGACCAGACCTGCGGCTTCTGGTTGTCGTTCAAGCTAACAGAGGTGAAGGTTACCGAACTGCAGCCTATTTTGTAAAGTCACGCAAGACAATCAAATGTCTTTATTTTGACATCCTCACCTCAGGGCATGCCATTAGATATTAATCAAAACCTTTCTGTTGGGTTTTGGTTGTTTTCTTGTCTTTGTCACAAATCTCACAGCTGCTCGTGTCAACAGACTAACTCTCTGAGACAATTATTGAAACATTATTATTTTGTATGTTTTTCATTCAATCTCAGAACTACATACCAACAGTGTTCTTCTGAGACAGACAACAGCGAAACATTACATGTTGACCAAGACATTGTTATAGGCTGTGGCTCAGTGGGTAGTGTGCTGGACTTCGAATCAGAGGGTAGCAAGTTCGAGTCCCACTGGAGTCAGCATGTCGTTGTGTCCCTGAGACACTTCACCTCAAATTGCTCCTGTGGGGATTGTCTACAGTACTGAATGTATGTAGGTCGCTTTGGATGAAAAAGCGACCTATGACAAAAATGACATGTAATGTAAAAAAGATGAAGTACAACAATAATAATAATAATAAGATATATCTGACATCATGAAAGGAAAGTAGCAGAGCACAAATAGCAGAGTATAAAGATACAAGCAAGCTTTTCTTTGTCTTCCCCTGTGACAAAAACAATAAAGTGACAGCTAACGTCTCCTCATCCTCATCCTAAACCCACCTCCTGCCACCTTTGGAGGAAATCAAACCGTTTGCTTCAAAATCCCTCAGATGTATTCTGGGACAACAATGTCATCTCACACAGTTCTTAAAACAAAAACAACCCAGATAATCCACCTGGTGTGACATTATCTGACAAGGAAGAGATTTTAGATGGTAAACAACTTTAAGAAATAGTTCAGAGAGTTTGACATCTCATGCCTGCAGTCATTGTGTAATAATGTCATGTACTGAACGTCTTATTTATTGGAAAAAGACCCTTCAAATTAAGACTTACATTTACCTTCCTGTTCCCCCTTGTTCTTTTCCACCCTCTCGGGTCTTGTCAGCACAATTTCATGGTTTGTTGAACATTGTCTCAGTGTTGCTGGTAAAATGGAAGGAAAGGGAGACAATATGGAATGATGTTGTTCTGCTTAACAGATGGTGAATTACCTGAGTTTAATTGTGCCCAATCAAATGTCTTGTATACAAAAATGCAGTGTTAATGGTCAGTTGTACCAGGAAGGAAACGAGAGAGATTTCTTCCTTACTTATGCAGCTACAAACAGTTACTAAAGCTTGAGTTTGAACTTTTAAGAATCACCGTAATTAGATTTGAAGACTGATTTACCAAAGAGGTAAATACTGTATTAAACTACCACCAGCATCTATTTTAGATTTACATAAGGACACAGGGGAGAACAGCTATCTGGCTCTGCCCAAATCAAAAAAATGTGGCCCTCCAGAGGCTCTAAAGTTACCTTATTATAATGTTTATCTTGTTGATTTAAGTGCTTGATCTCATGTTATATTTCTAGTAGTGTTTCTTGGTCAGGCAACTGCCTGTAACTTCAGGAAGTTACTAAAAACTGGCTTGTAAAACTAGCTATATCTGACAATACTTCTAATTTGCTAGAGGGTGAATGCAGAGATCCTTAGATCAAAATGTAAAAACGTATAAGAGGTTTTGTCTTAAAATGTACGTTTTGGCACAATTTAAAGAATTGCAGGTCATTATTTCATTCTATGTACTTGAATGTAGTCTATCTAGTATTTGGTGAGTGATTATACGATTACCGGTATCTTTAATAATTGGTGTGGATTGACTACCATTAAATAAGTTACACTGGCAGCTCTGATACAAGATGACACAATAAACCACCATGATAACAACTTATTTCACATCTTCCATGATCTTTCAGGAGTCAACAGAAATACAGACAAGGCCATTTAAACTGAGTTAAAAGACGATAGGAATTCTGTCAAAACGTTATGTCGACACCTAAACTGTAAAATGATGCGCGAGGAAAGATAAAAGGTGTTCCCACCCCGTCATGTTGAGTTCCTCCTTGAGCCCTCAGCAGCAGCTTCACACTGAACTCCCTCACCACAGCAGGCCAAGGACAGAGAGATATGAAAGAACTGAAAATGGATTTCTTTTCATTTAGCTGGGACTCATTCATGAAATCCATTT